GGCCCTTAAAGGGGAAAGGTTGCCTACCCCTGCCCTATTGTGTCCTCTACTCCATTTTCCTCAGGTTGCACACTCTTTTCCTTTTGTGAGAAGGTGCTGAGTAGTTCTGCCATTTCTCTGTCCCCTGTTACAATTTCTCCATCTTCTCTGCGCAGTGGTCCTACCATTTCCTTCTTATTTCTTTTGCTATGGACATACCCAAAAAAGCCCCTTTTGTTGTTCTTAACCCCTCTAGCAAAGCATCTGTGCTTTGGCTTTCCCCCTACATGTGCTAGCTATTTGTTTGAATTCCTCTTTATTGATTTCACCCCTTTTCAATTTCTTATACATCTCCCATTTAAAACTTAGTTCAGTTGAAAGTTCTTTTGTCATCCAGCCCAGTTTCTTGAGACACCTCCTATTTTCCCTCCTCACTGGAACAGTTTGAGATTGTGCCTTCAGTATCTCCCTTTTGAGAAACTCCTATCCACCCTGAACTCCCTTATCCTTTAGTATTCCTGACCATGGGATCAAGTTTGTTGAAATCAGCTCTCCTAAAGTCTGACTATGCCTAGCTTCTCCTTTCCACTGTATAAGAAACTCTAGAAGAACATGATCACTCCCACCTAAGGATCCCATCATTTGCACCCCATTTATCAGATCATCCTTGTTGGTTGATCAGATCTAAAATAGCTGATCTCCTTGTTGCCTCTTCCACCTTTTGGACAATGAAATTGTTTTTGAGGCAAGTGAGGAATTTGCTAGACCTTGAAGTATTGGTTGAGTTTGACTTCCAGCAAATATCAGGATAATTGAAGTCATCCATTACTACTACATCTCTCCTTTCTGAATGTGTGGTCATCTGTTTTAGAAAGGCATCATCCAATTCCTCAGTCTGACTTGGGGGTCTGTAGTAGACTCCCACTATAATATCCCTGTTATTTCTTTCCCCTTTAATTTTTATCCAGATGTTCTCCACCTGATTTCCAGGATTTAAGTCCTGGATCTCTTCACAGTTGTAAACATCCCTGACATATAATGCTGTTCCTCCTCCTTTCCTGTTTGGCCTATTTCTCTTTAAAAGGTTATACCCCTCTATTCCTACTTTCCAATCTTGAGACTCATCCCACCAGGTTTAAGTGATGCCTATTATATTGTATTTGCATTGTTGTGCTAGGAGTTCAAGTTCATCTTGTTTATTTCCCATTAGTGTAGAGATATCTAAGAGCATGTGTCCTCCACACTTGCGGCCTGTGTGAGGTTTTTTCCTCCCACTGATGGGGCCTTGAATAATTTGCCTTGTTCCCTCTATAACACATTGACTATTATCTCCATCCCATGATGTACTCCTGCATTCTAAGATCCTTCCAAGATACTGTCTCCCTCCCCCACATGGCTCCGTTTAAAGCCCTCCTGATCAAATGTTTGAGGCTATTGGCAAAAATGTTTCTGTGAACTGGTGTGAGATGAAGCCCATCTCTTGCCAGATGTCCACCCTCAAGGAACTGCAGCCCATGATTCAAGAATCCAAATTGTTCTTGCCAATTATTCACATCTTCTATTTTCCTCTCCTTTCCTGGACCATGCCCTTCAACTGGGAGAAGAGATGAGATTACAACCTGTGCATCCAGCTCTTTCAGCTTCCTACACAAAGCCTCATAATCCCTGCTGATATTCTGAAAGCTATGTCTTGCAGTATCATTGGTTCCCACATGGAAGGGGTAATGGTCAGTAGGCTTGACAAGTCTTGTTAGCCTGAATGTCACATCACGGATTTTTGCCCCAGGAAGACAACACACCTCCTGGGACATCTTGTCAGGCCTACAAACCACTGCTTCTGTACCCCTCAACAAGGAATCCCCACCACCACCACACACCTCCTCTGAGGCTTAGCAGTGGCTATTCCCTGCTCTCAGGGTCCCCTGCACTGTCCCTGAGGACTGTCCCTGCTGGCCTTCCCCTTCATCCTTGATAAGGGAGAGAGCTTCAAATTGATTCTGTAGCTTCAAGCTTCCAGAACGATCCATGGTTTCTCTACTTCTGTGTGCGATGTTTCTCCAGCTGTCTACCTTCTGTATGTGTGAAGTGACCTCCTCCCCAACAACATCTTCTGTGTGGTCCCTGTCCAAGACTGCTCGTTCCGTTCTGTCTAGGAATACCTCTTGCTTCCTAATATACTGAAGTGTCGCTATCCGGGCCTCTGGCTGCTGAACTTTCTCTTCTAGGAGGGCTACCAACTTGCACTTGGTGCAGATGAAGTTCCCACATCTCTAGGCCAGAAGAAAAACATCCCACAAGTGTTGCAGGTGACAGCAGCAGCTCCCTCAGTGTCCATACTGAGACTTCTTAAGTAAGCAGTGAAACAGGAATGTAGGCTTCTCTCTCAAAAAGTCTCCCAGTAAAGACTCACAAAAAGGGCTCCTGTTGGCTTGGTCTTTTCACCTGGCTCTGTCAACAAGCTCAATCAACTGGGTTTATAATTCTATAGAGAGCTCTTGGATGCTACCTAATTCTGGAGGCAAGTATCTGACTCTCTTCCTCTGACCAAAAAGAAAACCCCCAAAAGCCCTTTAAATTTTTAATTTTTTTTAAAGGAGAACCTCTAAAACAAAGTTCCCAGTGCCCCTTGTACCTGTGCTGTGCTTTCCCATCTTGCCAAAAATTTGCACACCTAATGGCACGCACCTCTGGGAGGAGTTATATAGAGCTAGGCAGCTAGCTCCATCCCCTAGTGACTCACAGATGTGACTCACTGAAGCCCCACCCTATCAGCAACAAGCACATTCTCCCAAGTGTTTTTCAAAAACTTTAAACACTCACCCACTCAAAATGGCTGCCGAGAAACTGCTTTCCTCCTTCTTCCTGGCAAAGACTGGCCTGGAAAGCCTCTGGGAGGAGTTATATAGGAACCTTGAAAATTGTACTTTAAAGAATAGGTTCAAATAACTCAATGTCTATAGTCTGGCTCACTAGAAATCGCCTCTTCATTAAAAATCTCTTTTACCCAGAATGTTAAATTGAAAAAAAGTAATATTTCCAGTTGTTTATGTGGTATACTCCACTTACACTACTGTATCACTAGAAATTTCATATGGAACATGGTGTGTGTGAATGTGTTTAAGAGCCCTTTCCACTTGGGAAAACTACACACATTATGAGAAAATGCTATGCTAAAATCATTAACAATGTGTACATCACATAAAGATAGAAGAAAGTTAAGTAAATCTTTCTGATAGGAATCTCAAAAACAAACCTAATGAGGAAATATAATTATAAATATAATATATATTATAATTATAAAAAGGAATAATATTAGTTCGAAATGGAAGTAATTTGGAGATGGAAAGCAGACATATATTAAGAAAGCATCAAGGAAATAGTATAAAGAGAAAAAAAAGCAAGGAATAAGATAATATATAGTACATAGAATTAAGAGTAGGAAGTAAGATTATAAACACAAATTTATCAAATAAACAGAAGAAAAGTAATGTATCAAAGTAGCTAACAAATGTAATAAATAACATAACAAAGAATGTATTAAAATAGTTATATGAGAGGGATTAGAAGGCCAGCTATAACACCAGATAATCCAGTGAAGACAAGAAGGAAGTAAGAATGAATGTTAAAAGGAGGGAAAGAGTTAAGGAGTGGACAGAGTCAGGTGAAATGAAGGTATAAGGAAGTAGATGAGGGTTAAAGAATGTAGTAAAGCAGAAGAGGTAGAAAAGATGGAGAATGAAAGAGAGTAAGGGGTAACGCAATAGAAAGGATTGAGGCAAATAGCTCGGAGAAAGGGAGGAGAGGAGAAGAAACAACGTGTACATCACTAAAGCAGCATAGAACCTTTGAATGTAAAATATAAATTCTTCTACTAAATACTAATACATTTTTGTATCAATTTGGAAGTATCTATAGTTGAACAGCATTGTCCCTGGATGTTAAAACAATTTGCAAAGTGCTGTCATGTTCCACATTTTCCAAGATGACAAAATTACACCTTGTTGATGGAGAAAAGAACCACTTTTTTAAACATAATTTATTATACAAATTATAACAGTAAAACACAAACCCAAAATACAGAGTCACTTCACAATCATCATGTTAACTACTATGGAAAGCAGAGAATATCAATTGTGTCTCCCCCCAAAAACTTGGTGTCC